GTGCTGGGATTATAGGCACGAGCCACTCCGCCCAGCCTGAAGATTTTGTTTTTGTTTTGAGATGGAGTCTCATTCTGTGGCCCAGGATGGAGTGCAGTGGCAGAATCTCAGCTCACTGTAGCCTCCATCTCCTGGGTTCAAGCGATTCTTCCACTTCAGCCTCCCAAGTAGCTGGGATTGCAGGCACGCACCACCACGCCCGGCTAATTTTTGTACTTTTAGTAGAGACAGGGTTTCGCCATGTTGGCCAGGCTGGTCTGGAACTCCTGACCTCATGTGATCCGCCCACCGTGGCCTCCCAAAGTGTTGGGATTTCAGGTGAGAGCCACCACACCCAGCTAAAGTTTTTCTTTTAACACGAGAATGTCTTTAGACTCCAAAACTTTTAGCCCTTATCCTATAAACTGCCTTAATTTTAAGTTACCACACTAAGCATCAAACTCTTGTGGATCTACATAAACAAGGAGGGCACTCATAGAGGAGCCACCTTCAAAAGGCTAAAAGTGGAATATAGAGATTAGCATGCCTCCTCCACAAGGATGACGTGTAAAAAACAAACAAACAAAAAACCCTGGCTACAAGGTTAATTACCAGAGGCTAACTAGAATGATCTGAAAAAAATTTGAAAGTATCCCTACCTCCTGCCTGAGAACAGGCAAAGTAACTTTATAACTAGTAAAGCATGCTTGCACCAGAGTTAAAGGGTTGCAAAGGGAAAAGGAGAAGAAAAAAAAACAGCAGCAGCAGCAGCAGCAGCCGCCGCCACCGCCATCCCAAGGAGCATACCAAAGATTTGTTTATTTTATTTTTATTTATTTTTTGGAGACAGCGTCTCGCTTTGATGCCCAGGATGGAGTACAGTGGCGCCATCTTGGCTCACTGCAACCTTCACCTCCTGAGTTCAAGCTATTCTCCTGCCTCAGCTTCCTGAGTAGCTGGGACTACAGGCACGTGCAGCTAATTTTTGTATTTTTATTAGAGATGGGGGTTAACCATGTTGGCCAGGCTGGTCGCAAACCCCTGACCTCAGGTGATCCACAGGCCTTGACTTACCAAAGTGCTAGGATTACAGGTGTAAGTCACCACGCCCAGCTGGATTGCTTTTAGTTCAGTCCCTCTCTAACTTTAGCATTACTCAGACATTAGCTTGTCCCATCTTGCACAAGCAGAGTTTCTTTAAGTTCCTGGAACCCATCCAGAGAGATTCTGCTTTCAGGAGTTTGGTGGTAGGATCTATGAATTTGCATTTCTCATTTCTTTCTTTCTTTTTTTTTTTTTAAGACGGAGTTTCGCGCTTGTTACCCAGGCTGGAGTGCAATGGTGCGATCTCGGCTCACCACAACCTCTGCCTCCTGGGTTCAGGCAATTCTCCTGCCTCAGCCTCCTGAGTAGCTGGGATTACAGGCACGTGCCACCATGCCCCACTGATTTTCTGTATTTTTAGTAGAGACGGGATTTCACCATGTTGACCAGGATGGTCTCGATTTTTTTACCTCGTGATCCACCCGCCTCGGCCTCCCAAAGTGCTGGGATTACAGGCGTGAGCCACCACACCCGGCCCTGCATTTCCCATTTCTAACAAACTTATAGGTGATGCCACTGCTGCTGTTCTGTGAACCTGCCTGAAGCCACTTCCATCCAAACCCAGCAATAGCTTCATGGTAACTATAGTATGTTAACATACAGTTTTAAAGGGCTGGGCATGGTGGCTCACGCCTGTAATCCCAGCACTTTGGGAGGCCGAGGCAGGCCGATCACTTGAGGTCAGGAGTTCGAGACCAACCTGGCCAACATGGCGAAACCCCACCCGTACAAAATACAAAAATTAGCTGGGCGTGGTGCCAGGTGTCTGTAGTCCAAGCTATTCAGGAGGCTGAGGCAGTAGAATCGCTTGAACCCAGGAGATGGAGGTTGCAGTGACCAGAGACTGTGCCACTGCACTCCAGCCTGAGCGACAGAGGGAGACTCCATTTCAAAAAAAAAAGAAAGAAAAATATGTATTTTATTTTTATTATTTTATTACTATTATTTTTTTGAGACAGAGTTTCGCTGTTGTTACCCAGACTGGAGTGCAATGGCATGATCTCGGCTCACCGCAACCTCCGCCTCCTAGGTTCAAGCAATTCTCCTGCCTCAGCCTCCCGAGTAGCTGGGACTACAGGCGCGCACCACCATGCCCAGCTAATTTCTGTATTTTTAGTAGAGACGGGGTTTCACCTCGTTGACCAGGATGGTCTCGATCTCTTGACCTCATGATTCACCCTCCTCGGCCTCCCAAAGTGCTGGGATTATAGGTGTGAGCCACTGCGCCCAGCCGAAAAACATATATTTTAAAAGGAAGTAAACCCCAGCCCCCTGGGATTTTAAATCAGCACCCCAAGGAACAGAGAACATACTAACTTAGCATGCAGGAACCACCAGTACACAATGATCTTGGTCTGAGACCCTATTCATGATTTTTTTTTTTTTTTTTGAGATGGAGTCTTGCTCTGTTACCCAGGCTGGAGTGCAGTGGCACAGTCTCTGCTTACTGCAACCTCCACCTCCTGCATTCAAGCAATTCTCCTGCCTCAACCTCCCAAGTAGTTGGGATTACAGGCACATGCCACCACGCCCAGCTGATTTTTTGTACTTTTAGTAGAGATTGGGTTTCACCATGCTGGCCAGGCTGGTCTCAAACTCCTGACCTCAGGTGATCCTCCTGCCTTAGCCTCCCAAAGTGCTCGGATTACAGGTGTGAGCCACGTATCCAGCCCCCTATTCATAATTCTATCCCCAGAAAAATGCACATGTACCAATTCCCAGTCTCTTGGCTATTGGGAAGCATTGCTAATGAAATATGTAATGAAAACAAATTTGCTTTCACCTTGGTCAGAGGTGATCTAGCAAGCCACTGGAACCAAGCTGGCCTTGTAGCAGTAATGAGCAGAGCTTCGTTAACCATCTCAAATCCCAAGCTAGCCCATTTTCTGCTTTACCAACAGAAAAACTCTCATCACCCTATAGTCATCCAGTGATATACCAAGTCCAGACAAGGTTGCCTTCATTTAGAGAGCTGAAAGAACAAATGACTAATGCTTTGTTTGGTTGCTTTTGTTTTCTAAGAATGTTCAGTGTTATCTGGTCACTCTTTTGCTCGGACATCCTTTCTTTATATTGACTCTGGAGCTATTCCTTGTTCCTACTCTGTGTACCCATGATATGTCTATCTTAGTCCTTGAAAGGTGTAGAGAGTCTTTTCTCGGCCAGGTGCAGTGGCTCACGTCTATAATCCCAGCACTTTGGGAGGCTGAGGCAGGTGGATCACGAGGTCAAGAGATTGAGACCATCCTGGTCAACAAGGTGAAACCCCGTCTCTAATAAAAACACAAAAATTAGCTGGGCATGGTGGCGTGTGCCTGTAATCCCAGCTACTCGGGAGGCTGAGGCAGGAGAATTGCTTGAACCCAGGAGGCGGAGGTTGCGGTGAGCCGAGATCGTGCCATTGCACTCCAGTCTGGGTAACAACGGTGAGACTCTGTCTCAAAAAAAAAAAAAAGAGTCTTTTCTCTGTTGCCCAGGCTGGAGTGCAGTGGTGTGATCTTAGCTTACTGCAACCTCCGCCTCCTGGGTTCAAGCAGTTCTCTGCCTCAGCCTTGCAAGTAGCTGGGATTACAGGTGCCTGCCACCACGCCTGGCTAATTTTTGTATTTTTAGTAGAGATGGGGTTTCACCATCTTGGCCAGGCTGGTCTTGAACTCTTGACCTCGTGATCCATCTGCCTTGGCCTCCCGAAGTGCTGGGATTACAGGTGTGAGCCACTGTGCCAGGCTGAAAAGAGTTCTAAGGGTAATCTCAGTCCCCAAGTGTGACACACTCAACTGATATCCACAGGCACTTAGACCTTTTTGTATAAAGTCAGTGCATAATGTGAGTACCATGTGGATGAATTAGAGTAAAATGCAAGCCACAGAACTTCAAGCCAGGATTGGATATTTTATATCAGTAGGAGCTTTTGGATTAACTGTTCAGTGAACATAGGTCTTTAAACTTTACCCTTGGGTTGGGGCAAGAGCAGAAAGTAGTATCCTACCAACCACTCCGAAAATCAGGGAAGACTTTAGAACACACAGGGACCCTGGAAAATTTAACAGATGACTCAAAAAGCATAACTTACTCTCCAAGGAAATCCATCCTACAAATTAAAAAAATAAAAAGCCTTAACAATTGGGGCAGTTGCCTCTACAGGCAAGGATATCAAACAATCAAATATCCATCTGCCCACTTGGTGTGAACACTTACCTTTTTAAAAAAGGAAAAAGTATCTGTCTAGAGTGAAAAACAAGTCCTTTTTTTTTTTGAAACCGAGTCTCGCTGTTTCTTGGGCTGAAGTGCAGTGTCCAAATCTCTGCTCACTGCAACCTCCGCCTCCCGGTTCAAGCAGTTCTCCTGCCTCAACCTCCCAAGTAGCTGGGATTATAGGTGCTCACCACCAAGTCTGGCTAATTTTTGTATTTTTAGTAGAGACGGGGTTTCACCATCTTGGCCAGGCTGGTTTTGAACTTCTGATCACGTGATCCACCCGCCTCGACCTCCCAAAGTATTGGGATGACAGGCGTGAGCCACTGCAGCTGTCCAAAACAAGTCCATTTTCAGCAGAGACATTTGGAAATTCATTCAGTATGCTAGGCATAATTGTAAGGTGAATTATTCAATATTGAGTGTGGTAAACAATAAAAATCACTGGATTTCGAATTGGTAAAATAGCTCGTTTTGAATGCACACATTAAGTCTCTTGCCAAGTTGCTTGCAATTTTCCAGGAAAATTTGTCTTGCTTCAGGGAGGACTGAAACCCACAATCAGCCCAACACTACCACCTAGTGTTGAAATGAATTGATGGTGCTTCTCTTCACCTAAAACTTAAAATAGTAGTACCATTTTTTTTCTTCCGAAATTGCACAGGTAGATCCTGAGAGACGGTAACAATGTAAGAAAATAATGGAAGAGAAACATTGAAAAGTTCAAATTTAATTAAAATCTTTATTGAATAAAAATGTTTCAGACTAAGCCAGACTAAGAAAGCAGAATGTTTTACATCTCTAAAAATATTAAAGCTAAATCTCTATAAATGCAGTAGAAAGAAAAGCCTACAGCTTAAAACACCTCTCCCTCCCATTCATACATTTTGGAATATCAATTATGTACAACAAATGTACTCAAGTTTATAATGTCCCCAAACCTTAAGACTAGAAAATCATCCCAAGAAAAAGGCCTAGAGTTGGTTTAATTTTACCCTGGGAATACTGTCTATGATCTAAATCAATATATTTCAGAGCTAATAAGTATTTAAAAATTAGTATCTCAAAAAGGGGACATCAGGGATGAAATGCAGGGTTCAGAGGTCTGAGCTCAAGTGGTATAAGGCAGTCCTCTTTTAAACTCTTCGGTTTGCTCTAACATGGAACATGGGGGATAGTGATCCCAAAGGTATCACTAAAATATTGCAGCTTTCAGTAAATTATGAGAAGCACAGATATCACCAGTAAAGAAAGCAATCATTCGGAGTACAGTAAATTCATTGGCAGATACAAAAGCTTATTTGGGAGATAGCAGATCTCTCCAAGCACCAAAGAATGGAGGTTGGTTTTTTCAGTTGCCTCAAAAAGTGCTCTGAAAAGATGGCTGTGTTATACCTCAAGACGCAGAGTTGAGGGTGTAGAGAGCAGGACACAAAGTAATCAATTCCTTATATATGTCATAGCAAGAAAATTCACCAAAAAAAATTTAAAGACTAAATACTTAATCTGTTAACACGTAAATACTAAAAAATTAAATTGGTATTCATTTAAAAATATACAAACTGTGCCCTTTATACTAAAGTGCATTCAGTTGTAATGTTTAGGCCCCTAAATTCCTTCTGTATGTTCTCTAATTCCAAAATAGTGTTTAACAATATACTACTAATCATCTATCTACTTTAATATTGACTTTTTGGGAATACAGTAGAATCTGGGCTATTATCATGTGGACTATTTCCCCAGTTATAAGCCTTACAGTCCTTATGCATATCATCACTGCTAAAATGAATTTAAGTAAAGTTATCTCTAGCATTTAGAAGTGGTTCACTTAACCTGCAGTAGGGGTAGGGTTTTTTGTTTGTTTGTTTTTTTAGAAGGAATTCTTTTCCAAAGTTGCTTCCAAGTAAATTACATTTCATGCTGGGATACCTGCTGATGTGCATCACACTTTGACAAAGGGCAGTGGCTCGCTAACACTAACATGAATTTAAGGCCCAGCACCATTGCAATTTGTCACTCTTCATCCTCATCCTCATCGTAATACCGATTTCTCTTTATCTGTTCCTCCACAGAGAGCTCTTTGACCACTTCTCCCTCCCAGAATCCCATATCCTGGGATTTCTGATTCTGAGTAGTGAATTCTTTAGCGGAGGTGTTGTCTACAAAACTGGACCAATTTGGAGACTTGGGTTCTAGTGGAGATTGTTGCTTGAGGAAGCTGTTATCCTCTTCATCGAAGTTGGCACCGTTTTCCACAAGATTCTCATTCTCCATCTCCAAACTATGACCTTCTTTACTTCTCTTCACTATCTCTTCTCCTTTAGATTCCTTGTTTTGCCAGCTTGTTTTTCCCACACTCCCATTCTTCTTGGAAGCCTTGGCATTTTCCACTTGTTTCTTTTCAGCAACTATTCCGCCTGCAAACTCTTCACTCTGCTCTGACATGCTCCAGCCTTTCCTGATAGGTGAAGGCAAAGGTTTTGGGCTCTTGACAGAGGTGCTTTGAAATGAAGCTGCTACAGTGAATGGGCGGCTTCTTTCCTTCAGTGAAGAAGATCGTCGTAGTTTCTTCAGATCCAGATCGACATCCTCAGGAACTTCAGGCTTGCTGCTTTCATCCTCAGGAGGCCATTTGGGCTTTGACACTTTGATCCCTTCCTCCAAGGCACTTCCTGAACTTCCAAGTTCAGTTGGGGGTGGCCAGGCAATCCTCAGCTTCTTGGTTTCAGCAGGCTTGTCTTCCTTCTCCTGTGGAGAGGAGGCCTTGGCTTCCATACTTGCAGCCAGGACACCCACCTTGGCAATAGGGGCATCTTCTACTCCTGGGCTGTGAGCGGTCTCCCTTGCATTTGCAAGCTGGGCTGGTCTCTCCAAAATCTCTTCGTTTTCATTTTTGCTTGCCCACAGATCCTTGTGTGGTCTGTGCCCAAAGCCTTCATCATAGTTGCCTTTAGATTTAAAGAGTTGATTGAAGTGAGGCTTACAATAGATTCTTCCATGTAAAGATGCATATGTTCCTAGACTGTCATTAAAAGAAAAAGAGCACAAAGTTAGCAAATCTTTTTTTTTTTTTTTGAGATGGAGTCTTGCTTTGTCACCTAGGCTGGACTGCAGTGGCATGATCTGCAACCTTCCTGCACAGGTATTATGTAAGCCAGTAGATAGAGTGATTACCTACTGATCAAAACTGCTCACAAAAAGGCAGATTACACATTTGTACACATGTGTCCTGAGCTGCTATTCCCTTCCTCATCTGGGAATCACTTGAGAAAAATGCATGACCTCATCCGGTGTCAAAATGAGCTACAGTGGTGATCTGCAACCTCTGCCTCCTGGATTCAAGTGATTCTCCTGCCTCAGCCTCCCAAGTAGCGGGGACTACAGGCACACACCACCACACACAGCTAATTTTTGTATTTTTAGTAGAGATCGGGTTTCACTGTGTTGGTCAGGCTGGTCTTGAACTCCTGACCTCATAATCCGCCTGCCTCAGCCTCCCAAAGTGCTGGGATTACAGGTATGAGCCACAGCGCCCGACCAGCAAATCCTCATATTCTGACTTACACCAGAAGGCTAAAATCTGGCAATTCCAATATTTTCAGAAGATGCTAAGTAAAAAAAAAAAAAAGATCTTTTTTTTTCTTTTTTTAAAAGAAAAAAAGAGAAAGAGAAAGAGGGAGAGAGAACAGGAGTCTTGCTCTATCGCCCAGGCTGGAATGCAATCTAAAAATAGGTATTAAAAACCTCTTTTATGCTGATAATTGTACTTATCAGCTGAGACAGGAAGGAATAAGGGAAGAAAATAACGAATAAACAGCCAACCAATATTTCATTTAAGTCTGTGAAATGCTATGCAAATGCTGAAGAATGATTTACTTCCAATTATGTGGTTAAAAAAAAGTTCTTTAAAAGCATCTCAGTGACCAGGGCTTCCTTACCCTCATTTTAGCACATTTGTTTTCTTATGGTAACATATAGCATGCTCACTTCTAAGACTGAATCTTCAAAAGGCATTCTTCCACCTGTAATGTGCTCCCCATTTTCAAATGATTTTACTCTCCTGCGAAATAATTCAAAGTTAAAGCTGTTAAAACTTTAAATTAGGCTGGGCACAGTGACTCACACCTGTAATCCCAACACTTTGGGAGGCCAGGGTGAGAGGATCTCTTGAACCCAGGAGTTTGAGACCAGCCTGGCCAACATAATGAGACCTCATTTTACAAAAAATTTAAAAATTGTCTGGGTGTGGTGGCCCGTGCCTGTAGTCCCAGCTACGTGGGAAGCTGAAGTGGAAAAATGGCTTGAACCCAGGAGGCAGAGGTGAGAGTCAGCTGAGAGTGTGCCACTGTGATAGAGTGAGATTCTGACTCAAAAAAAAAAAAAAAAGAAAAGAAAAAAATCAACAATAATAGAAACTTTAAATCATTCTGAGCCTTGAGAGGAATGTGGCTATGCAGCCTGGGTCACAGAGCATATAGCTGCAACTCTTTCTTTTCCCTGTAAATAATGAAGACCAAAGGGCACCAGAGATAAGACTCCCTCAGATCACTATCCCTCCTTTACGGAGTGATAATCTTCCTTGGAATGTCACAATCTGTAACCAATCAAATCACTGTTCTATATGCACTGGTCTTATATGGAAAATGTCACACTTTTGCTAAACTTCCTATGTAAGTGAAACTAACTTTCTCCACTTTGGAATGCTGACCCTATTCATTTGGAGTCAGTGTTTCTGGGTAACCATCATCAAGCTTTTGTGTTTGAATTAACTCTATACTTAATGGTGCGCGCGCACACACACACACACGCATTTTTTTCTTTTCTTTTTTTTTTTAAGATGGGTTTTCAGCATGATGGCCAGGCTGGTCTTGAACTCCTGACCTCAGGTGATCCACCCACCTTGGCCTCCCAAAGTGCTAGGATTACAGGTGTGAGCCACCCTACCCAGCCTTTTTTTTTTTTTTTTTTGAGAGAGTCTCGTTCTGTTGCCCAGGCTGGAATGCACTGGCACAATCTCGACTCACTGCAACCTCTGCCTCCCAGGTTCAAGCAATTCTCCTGCCTCAGCTTCTTGAGTAGCTGGGATTACAGGAGTATGCCACCACACCTGGTCAATTTTTGTATTATTTTTATTATTATTTTGAGATGGAGTTTTACTCTTGTTGCCCAGGCTGGAATGCAATGGCATAATCTTGGCTTACCGCAACCTCCGCCTCCTGCGTTCAAGTGATTCTCCTGCCTCAGCCTCCCAAGTAGCTGGGACTACAGTCACGCACCACCACGCCTGGCTAATTTTGTATTTTTAGTAGAGACAAGGTTTCTCCATGTTGGTCAGGCAGGTCTTGAACTCCTGATCTCAGGTGATCCACCTGCCTCAGCTTCCCAAAATGCTGGGATTACAAGCGTGAGCCACCATGCCCGGTAATTTTTGTATTTTTTAATAGAGATGGGTTTTACCATGTTGGCCAGGCTGGTCTCGAACTCCTGGGCTCAAGTGATCTGACCTTGGCCTCCAAGAGTGCTGGGATTACAGGCGTGAGCCACTGCACCCAGCCCCTTTTCTTTTCTTTTTTTTTTGTGTGTTGAGGTCTTGCTCTGTCACCCAGGCTGGAGTACAATGGTAAGATCATAGCTCACTGCAGCCTTGAACTCCAAGGCTTAAGTGATCCTCCAGCCTCAGCCTCAGCCTCCCGAAATTTTTCATAGAGATAGGGTTCCCCTGCTGGGTGCAGTCCCAGCACATTGGGAAGCTGAGGTAGGTGGATCACTTGAGGTCAGGCATTCAAGACCAGCCTGACCAACGTGGTGAAACCCTTTCTCTACCAAAAAATACAAAAATTGGCCCGGGTGTGGTGGCTCATGCCTGTAATCCCAGCACCTTGGGAAGCTGAGGCCGGTAGACTGCCTGAGGTCAGGGGTTTGAGACCAGCCTGGCTAACATGGTGAATGAAACCTCATCTCTACTAAAAATACAAAAATTAGTTGGGCATGGCTAATTTTTTTAATTAGCTGGGTGTAGCATACCTGTAGTCCTAGATATTCAGGAGGCTGAGGCAGGAGAATTGCTTGAACCTGGGAGGTAGAGGTTGCAGTGAGCTGAGATCATGCCACTGCACTTTAGCCTGGGCAACAGCAAGACTCTGTCTCTGGAAAAAAAAATTAGCTGGATATAGCGGTGCACGCCTGTAATCCCAGCACTCTTGGAGACTGAGGCATGAGAATTGTTTGAATCTGGGAAATGGTGGTTGCAGTGAGCCAGGATGGCACCACTGCACTCCAGTGGTGGGCAACAAAGCAAGACTTTGTCTCACAGAAAAAACCAGATGGGGTCTCTCTCTGTTACCCAGGCTAGTCTTGAACTCCTGGCCTCAAGTGATCCTCACCTGGGCCTCCCAAAGTGCTAGAATTACAAGTTTGAGCCACCACACCTAGATGTAAGCTGTGATTAACAGAAGAATGGTGAGGAGTTGACAGGAGATAGTGTTTCCCTAATGTCAGTCCTAGACAAGCCTTTAGGAGATTTGGTGGTATCTCTTACAGGATGACAAATTTTATCTTTTTTTTTAAGTTTTTTCCCTTAAGTTACGAACTGTTCTGAAGAATGACAAATTTTAAAGGGAGTATAAAATTGAGCAGTTCCACAAAAGAAATAAGGTGGTTTGGAGAAAAAAGTGGGCAGAAAAAGCACTAATGAGTGGAAGTTACCAAGGTATGCTTTGGCTCCATGTTTGGAGAAGCTGTCTAGCTAGAGTTATCTAATAGCTAGAAATGCCACGCAGATGCCAGATCATCTTTCAAGAGTATTTTAGGAGGGAGCTTGCTCAGAAAGGAAAGCTGGAGAACGTGACATCTTGGTTACTTCCTTCTGTAAGACTATGATTAAAATGAGTTAATTTGGAATGTTTCCCCAATTTGTCACATTTATATTTATACTTTGAGTTACTTGGAAGAAATGATACGTAACAATTATTTTCTCAGAAATAAAGTGAGGCAACATAGAGAAAAAGATATGCTCTCCAGGGGCTATGATTATTGCCATTATTATAATTTATAAGTGCTTACGACAAGCCATGGCTTAAGCAAGTAACCTCCTGAGATTTCTTAACTTTGTGATTCTGTGATACCAAGGGAAAACAATCTACCAAATTAGGTCGCAGGGGGTTTTACTTGCAACCCATATGATTTAAGCTTCAGTCCTAACACGTAAATTTACGTATCAATATACAAAGAAGTTCTGTAAAAGGAAGTTTCATACCATTATTTGGTATGAAAGACTTGTCACCAAATGTTCCTTTTTACTTTATTCAAGAGCCTTCAACAGAACATCATTAACACAGTAGCTTTTAGTACTAGTGCTCTAAAAGGCAAAGACTCCCTCAAGAGCTGCAGTTACAGAGCGATGGCTTGTTTTGGGCTGGCTTACCTGAGTTTGTTGTTGCAATAGGAGCAACGGAAGCAGCTGATGTGAAACACCTGCTGGTTGGCCAAGAGACGCTCCATTGGATAGACTGTCTTCTGACATTCCACGCAGGTCTCTTTTGCAGGTGCCTGAAACTTCTAGAAAAAGGCAAAGGACAACTTTAGCATGGGTAGTGATTAGTTAGTATTGTCTTGAGATGAGCCCTAGAATTTACTTAGCTGGTCAGTCAATTCTTACAGAACACTAAACCTGCGACAGTTCTATCAGCTGACTCTTCAAAGCCAAGAGGCTCTCTAGACATTCCCTTCCCAAACTGGCTGCTCTAAACGTAGCGGCCACCAAGGATAGGTGGAGCTAGGTCTGGATTGCAAAGAAAGGCTTACAGGAGTCACGATCAGACCCACATAAAAAATGTTAGGAGCAGGAGGTGGAGGAAGGGGCGGGGGAGGGGGCAGGGATCAGGAGAAAATGTTATCACACACAGAAGAAAGAAGTTTGATTCAAGTGCCAAGTAAACACAACACAGATCTCCAAATTTATTCAGGGATAAATTTCAAGGAGAGGAAGAACATTTATTTGGCTTTGGGAATTAGGAAAGACATTTCATTAAAGCCCCTTTTATTCTCCTCTGCTTATAATCTTGATTTGTTCAATCAACTAGGCATAATATTTCAAACAAGTCAAAACTGACACACAAGTGGAATAATTTATGAGACATAAACTATTTTATTAGGACACCAGAAGGAAGCATAGCCCATTAAAGCTATAGGTTCTATAATATTTCTAAAAACCAATGGAGAGTAAAACTAATGCAATGGGAAATGTACTGGTTAATGTATCAATGACCGGGAATTCGTGCACTGTTTGTAAAGTTGGAACAAACATGGGCATAGTGGTTCTACTTGATAAACTCCATCCTAAAGAATATAAAAGAGTTGGGATTCTAGCATTGGTAAAAGCCAGAACTCCAAAAATATTATAGGCTTTTCCATGATAAGAAATAGTTACATCGGCTGGGCCCGGTGGCTCACACCTGTAATCCCAGCACTCTGGGAGGCCGAGGTGGGCGGAGAGCGAGGTCTAGAGTTTGAGACCAGCCTGGCCAAGATGGCAAAAACTCTGTCTCTACTAAAAACACAAAAATTAGCCAGGCATGGTGGTGCACTCCTGTAATCCCAGCTACTTGGAAGGCTGAAGAATGAGAATCGCTTAAACCCAGGAGGCGGAGGTTGCAGTGAGCCAAGATTGTATCACTGCACTCCAGCCTGTGTGACAGATCAAGACTCCGTCTCAAAAAAAAAAAAAGAAATAGTTACATGGCTACTAAGAGGTGGGGAGGTGGGAATACAAAGTCCCTAGGTGTATGTGAGTTAACCCTTGACTTGCCCAACACAACCACCTCAACCAGTAGATGCAGGAGGCAGCTTAGGTGGCCCGGAAGCTCTCATTGGCAATTAGGAAGCCCTTTTGCTGCTACGATCAGTCTGGGCTCTCACCAGAAAACACATGATGGTAAGTAATGCAAATTAATCCCAAGGCCCAGGACCTGGGATGGTTAAGCCTTAAATGAACCAGGTTATGGGCAAAATGGAATTTTGAGTAAAAAATCCCAAAACAGGCCCATAAAAATTCAGACTGCTGGTTCACTTGCCACATGATTCACTAGGAGGTAAAGCAAAAAATAGAAATAGTTTTTCAAGTAGATTTGGGCAGGAAATGAGAGCAGAAAATGTGCAAAAAATGAAAATAAAGGAAGAAATCTATAAAAGGAAGTTTAATAAAATTAGTGGTAAACTCCCAAGTACTGCCCAAGGGATTTGGGAAGGAAGGAGCAAAGCTGAGGGGAAGCGGCTAGTTACCAGTACTCTGCTTCATTCTAGGGGCAGTGTCTTAAAAAGATACATCTAAAGAATCAAAAAATCACAGGCTACAACCTAGTTTACCAAGCATAAGGGAGGTATTTAAATATGACCAAATGTTACTGTAATGAATGCTGTTGCAAGTAATTAACATATTACAGTATTTGGAGCTCAGAATTCTTTGTCTTATATGGATACTGCTAAATGGAGATATCTTTGCAGGGTTTTAATTAAGTTTTCTCTAAAAGGACTAGGTCTTTGTCTAGGTAGGAGATATATTGGCCAGGCGAGGTGGCCCATGTCTGTAATCCCAGCACTCTGGGAGGCTGAAGCAGGTGGATCACTTGAGGTCAGGAGTTTGAGACCAGCCTGGCCAACATGGTGAAACCCCGTCTCTAAAGAAAATTCAAAACTTAGCCGGGCATGGTGGCAGGTGCCTATAATCCCAGCTACTCCAGAGGCTGAGGCACAAGAATCACTTGAACCCAGGAAGCAGAGGTTGCGGTGAGCTGATATCTCACCACTGCCCTCCAGCCTTGGAGATAGGTCGAGACTGTCCCAAAAACAACAACAACAACAACAAAAGGAGAGATATTAAAAAGCAGAATACATTTTTGGTGTAACAGTATAATGGAAGCTATTGGAGAGAGCCTGTACAAGTCACAACACATAATGTAAAAGTAGTACAGATGTATTTATTAGATTAAAAGTCATTTTCAGTTGCAGAGAGAATTCTGGGTTTTTTTTGAGACGGAGTCTTGTGCTGTCACCCAGGCTGGGGTGCAGTGGCAAAACCTTGGCTCAGTCAACTTCCACCTCCTGGGTTCAAGCAATTCTCCTGCCTCAGCCTCCCAAGCAACTGAGACTACAGGAGCGTGCCACCACAACTGGCTAATTTTTGTATTTTTAGTAGAGACGGGGTTTCACCATGCTGGTCAGGCTGGTCTTGAACCCCTAACCTTGTGATCCGCCTGCCTTGGCCTCCCAAAGTGCTGGGATTACAGGTGTGAGCCACCATGCCTGGCCAGGAATTCTGTATTTTCAACACTTGAAATAGATGTAGGAGAGTAAGTGCTCATTCTGATTGGTAAACACACAGGAGGAGACAGAAATTTCCCATGGGAAAAAAGGAGACTGTTCTGCTAAAGGGGAATGGAGGGATGCAGACCACCATCACAAACACACCGAGGGGAGGCACACATTGTGGGAGGGGAAGCAGCCCAGGGAACAGAAGGAAAGGAGAACCTGTGAGAAAGCTGAAAGTTGAGCTCACATTAGGAGGAAAGTGGAAGGCAGGAGCAGAAATTAGGTACCAGGAGCAGGAGGCAGAAGCTGGAAGAGACAAACAGGAACCTTCAGTGAATACACAGCATTTGGCTTGCCCTGGAGTGCTTTACTGCAGCTGAGCTGAAACTCAGAGACTCAGATCCAAGAATAAGACCACATTTTTTTTCATTTTTAAGTAACTCTGCTAATCGTGGCAAAATCAGCCTCACTCGTATCTACCTGAGGCTGGAACATATCCCAGCTCAGGAGAGCGAGCTTTTATGAGCCTTCACCCACACGAGGAGTGTCTCATTAACAATTCTTTAGTGTCTTACTACCTCCCACACCTGACCCACATCAGCTCTCTCTTTAATAGAGCTTTCACTCACACTGAGAGAAAAGTCTGTCCTCCTCCTTAACATCAAGTTAATAGATTGCTAACTCACACGATTGACTAGCCTCAAGCTTCCAACTAGCCAGACCTAGCAGAGTCCCATTGTTCCTCTTCATTTCTCATATCAACCCTTTTCAATATTATTTAAGGTTTATGCAGCAGCAGCTGCTGAAGGGCCCCTTCTAGTTTCATAAAGACAAGAGGGTCCCGACGTGGTAAAATGCCAAGTCACAACGGCTGCGGCTGTGGCTGTGGCTCCCCTTTATTTTCTTTGTCCTGGGCTCTCAGCCACTTTTCTGTAATTGCCCCCATGTCTATTCAGACAACAGGAAGCATAGTCAGGGCCCAAAAATCTCTACCATTATCAGAGGCCTGGCATACATCCTGTCCATGCCTTCAGGGTATGCTCAGACTTGGCACAGCCACATTTAAAACACTGCCAATATGACAATGTTAGACATTTTTTATCTTTACAATATATTTTTTCAGTTAGTTTTTTTTTCATTCCACTTTTCCCACCATTTTGCCCCTACCAAGTAGAAAGTTTAAACGCCAGGTGTCTTATCAAAGTTTACATAGTAACAGAATTAGAATTAAAACTAGGAGAAGCCGGGCACAGTGGCTCATGCTTGTAATCCCAGCACTTTGGGGAGCCGAGGTGGGTGGATGGCCTGGGGTCAGAAGTTCAAGACCAGGCTGTCCAACTTGGTGAAATCCCATCTCTACTAAAAATACAAAAAAAATTAGCTAGGTGTGGTGGTGCACGCCTGTAACCCCAGCTACTCGGGAGGCTGAGGCAGAATTGCTTGAACCTGGGAGGCAGAGGTTGCAGTGAGCAGAGATCATGCCACTGCACTCCAGCCTGGGCAACAGAGTGAGACTCCATCTCAAAAACAAAACAAAACAAAACAAAACAAAAAAACTGTAGAAGAGCCTGTTGAGTGACTCATCTTTGAGAGAAATTACCATGCTAACCAGTGGTTTGACTACTGCATACCAAGGTGTTCTGCAGCAAAGTCTTTAAACAATGCCTGTAGCACAGATTACCCCTCATAAGGAAAATAGTGCCCAGAGCATAGATAACCCCTCATAAAGATGCTTCTCTGGCCAGGTGGGGCACAGTGGCTCACACCTGTAATCCCAGTACTTTGGGAGGCCAAGGTGGGCAGATCACGATATCAGGAGTTCAAAACCAGCCTGACCAACATGGTGAAACCCCATCTCTACTAAAAATACAAAATTATCCAGGCATGGTGGTGTGCGCCTATAGCGTCAACTACGCAGGAGAATCGCTTGAACCCAGGAGGCCGAGGTTGTAGTGAGCTGAGATGGCGCCACTGTACTCCAGCCTGGGCGACAGAGAGACTCCATCTCAAAATCAATCAATAAAAATACAAAAATTAGCTGGGCGTGGTGGTGCACACCTGTAATCCTAGCTACTCAAGAGGCTCAGGCAGAACTGCTCCAACCCAGGAGGCAGAGGTTGCAGTGAGCCAAGATCAAGCCACTGCACTCCAGCCTGGGTGACAGAGTGAGACTCTGTCTCAGAAACAAACAAAAACAAGAAAAAAAGCAGCGCTTACCTAATCGCTCCAGTAGGAAGTTTTACAAGAAAGTC